GGGGGCCGTGCGGACTACATGTCCCAGGGTGCCCAGCGCCCGCCCCCCGCCCGCCAGAGCGCCATCTTGAGGCCTGTGCGCCTCGGGTTTCTCTGCTGAGCTGTGAGAAACTGCTGAGCAAAACCCCGATGGTTTTTTTGGCCTGTCAGCCAGACATAGAGGCTATTAATATCTAACCAGCCGCCGACTGAAATGGGAGCCCAGAAGTACCAGCATGCGGAAAGTATTTTCTTCCGTGGGATAACGACTGCCGCTCCCCGTGGATGGGCGCCCAGCGGCGGGAGCAGCCCGGGCAGCTGCCCGCTCCTGAGGACGACGAGCAGAGCGTGCCCTCGGCGCTTCCCACATGCGGGAGGGCAGGACTCATCCCGCTGCCTCTGCCCTCCTGCAGCCGTGTGCAGAAGCCACGTCCTTTCTTCCCTCTGCAGCCACCAGTTTTCAGAAGAGTTGTTGGGACTTTGTATTTGCGAACACTGCCTCTCCGATTTAGCAGAAATTCGAGTTCAAAACTCTTGGGAGAAAGTGCAGACCACCTCTTCCTTCAGCAGATACTGAAGGTGTTTTATTGCACAATCGCGTGCTGATTTTAATTCCCCCTTTTTATAATAGTTTTAATGAGATCAAGTGATACAAGCTTCTGTATTAGCATCAAGTAATACTATTTTACAAAAATCAGCGCCGATACAGCTGCAGCCTAAACCCAAAGCATTCTCAATAACGTTCTTCAGCGCTACCTAGCACCTCTGCGTGCTGTCAACAGCCAACAAATAAAAGCAGCAAACGCAGAGCTCGGCGTTCGTTACCCCCAGCCCAGCTGCCTACGTTTGTATGGGGCTTTGAGCAACTTATCTGGTGAAAGATGTCCCTGTCTGTGGCAGTGGGGTTGGCGTAGGTGATCTGTAAAGGCCCCTTCTAACCCATTCTGTGATTCTTTTTTTTTTTACACTGGATAATTCTTTGCCGCTCCAGGTTCCACTAATTCCCCTTCTTCCCGGTCAGGGCCGGTGCCTCCATGGGTGTTTTTAAGGGCACATTCACGGGATCCAGCCCAAGAGCCACGCTCGGCAGCCTTACGCAGCCTCCCACATGCAAAGCCGCCATGCTGCGATGGGCAGCTCTGCTGGCAGCACAGCTCCCTGAACCGTCCTCCCGTCTCCATCTACGCAATTATTATTTTTGTACGGTGAGTCGAAAAGAAACCCAACCCAATAAAGACATCGGAGCCCGCGGTTCCCATTTCCCCGTGCGCCCTGCTGAGCCATCCCGCAGGCGCGACGGCCGGGATGACCCGGGCCAGGGCAGGGGTGAGCGGGGCGGCAGCCCTCGAAGGCAGCCGAAAGCCCTGCTCCTCACGCACGGCTCCGTCCCGCTGCAGGGATGGAAAGGCAGCGGGAGCTCGGGCTCTCCCGCGGGAAGCGCTTCGGCCCCGGGGCTGAGCAGGAGGAGCACGGTTATGGATCAGTAGCCGGGCTCGGCCTGGCTTCGGCCTGACTCCCGCTTCCCTCACCCCTCAGCGGCATTTCCCCGATCTCGGCCTCCATCCCCGCCTCGGCGCTGGAGGCGCAGGGCGGGAGGTGGTGTCCCATCGGCTTTCCGACAGGTTTTCAGGCTGGAACAGGGGAAGCCCTGCCTTGCACGGGGTGCCTAGCAGCCCCCCACGTTTTCAGCCTCCTGCGGTGAAGGCTGGGTTTGACGGCGGAGCGCCTCCCGCACCGCAGCCGGGCCCGGGCCCTCTCTCCTCAGGCGCTCGCTGACCACCCCGGCGCCCGCACCGCGGTCAGGCACCGCCGCGGACGCCCGGACCCGGGGCCCTGCCGGCGCCCAGGGCCCTGCCTGCGCAGGCAGCAGGGTTAAGTCGTCCCTGCGCATGCACCCGCCCTCTCTCTTCCGGAGCTGATCATGGCGGAGAAGGAGTAAGTGGCTGTCCCGCCCCGGGATAATCCGCCCCCATCGGCGGGGGGGGGGGGGGG